GCTGTGGGTGGGTATGAGTTTTGTGACGAGCTCTGTGTGGGGGGAGGGTGGCTGGGAAGGGTTGTGGCTTGTGTGGAAGGGGAGGGTTTGCCCACAGACCGCCCCCCCACTCCACAGCAGGCAGAGCCCCCTCCAATGCTCCTGCAAGCCCAGGCCCAACGCTTCTGCTGCCCTACTCTGGGCCCCACTGGTGCTGGCCCCAGCACACTGGCATGGGCCCCATGCTCCCACCCAGCTGTTACTGCACTCTGCATGCCTGCTCGCTGCCTCTTCTCCTTGTCTTCCACAGCCATTTCCCTGCTTTGCCCCCCAGCCCGGCCGCCAACCACTCCGGCACTACGACTGTGTGAAACTTTGGTAGCTGATTTGATTTGGTGGAAATTCAGCCTGATTTGGGGAACAAATCTCCAACTGTGAATCGAACTGGGAGACCAAGTAAAAGTTCTGAATTGATTCCAAGCATCCAAATTGATTTAGAAAAGCTTTGGGAAAAGATTCAGATAATTCAGAGACTCAGCCATAGACTAAACAGGCAGCTGCCAGCTGCCTCCAGCTGGTGAATCTGTTGGGGTTGGGGGAGGGGTGAGGAAAGCTGCCCAGCCAGGGCGGGAGGGGCGCATTACTTGGGCACGGGGGCGGTAGGTGCAGGATGTGTGTGTGTGGCAGTGCTGGGAGCAGGGGCTCTGCCCTGGTGCTGCTGCAAGCAAGCTGTGCCTGCATCACACTCCCACCTCCTGTGCTGGCTGGGCAAGGCAGCAGGGCAGAGCCCCCATGGCTCCCCACACTGAGGGAGAGGTAGGCACAGCTTGCGGATCCGTGGGAAGCCCTCATGGATGTGCTACCTGGCCCCATCCCCTACCTGGCCCCAGTCTCCCAGCACTTAAAAAAACAAACAAACCCTACACTCATGGGCTTCAGGAACGGCAATCAGGGGCCTCTGGGCACTTGTGGCAGAGCCCCTCCACACAGCACAGCGCATTGGGGATTGCCCCTCCTGCCTGGCACCTGCATGGCAGCTGCCCCATGGCACAGGTGCACTGTGGCTTGGCAGGGTGCTGCACGCTGTCTGGGAGCTGATGTGGATGCACCCATCAGCTGGACCTCTCGGTTCGATTTTCCAGTTCTCTGATCATTCCCCCAGCTCTTGCTGGGGGGTGTGGTCCCTGGATCTGTGTGCAGCGTTTCAGTAGGCTACTGCTGCCAGCTGGGGAAATAGCCCAGAGCTGCCGCCACCCCCAGCTAGCAGTGGCAGCCTGCTGTAATCCCGCATCATCTGGGAGCCCGCCTCCCCTGGGAAGAGCTGGGGGAAAGATCAGGAAGCTGGGGAATCGAACCAGGAACTGGGGGAAATGTTTAGGGACCTTCCGGTTCAAGCCCCCAGTTTGACTTCCTAGCCCTAGCCCTAGTTCAATGCCCTAGCTCTCTGTTCAATTCCTCATCCCCCAGTTCGATTCACCTGGGAGCTGGGGTGGCTCCACTTGTCAGCCAGAGCCTGGCAGTGCTCAGCCCAGGCTCCTGGAAAAGACTGGACTTGCTGCTGCTTAGTTCTGCTGCCAGCTCCCCCTGGGTCCTACTGTCCATGGCTACTATCATCTTTGACAGGAAGCCAGGGACGGATAAATATTAATTTTCTAATTTTTTTAGGGGCCTGACCGGGGCTGGATAGAATGGCCTGCTGGGCCGGATCTGGCCCATGGGCCATATTTTGCCCATGGGCTGTATTTTGCCCACCCCTGGTCTAACCTATGGCCTGGTGGTTTGAGCACTTTATCTGTAGGTCAGAAAACAGTAGGTTCAAACCTCCTCTGCATCAGAGAAGTCTAGAGCCTTGGTTTCCTGCTTCCTGGTTCAGAGCCCTAACTATTCAGCTGCTGGGACTAAAACCTGGGAGGGCCTTCTCCTTCCTCTGCTTCGTGTCCTAGCTAGTCAGCTATTGGGGGCTAAAAAATGGGAAGGCCAAACTGCTCTAACACCTGCTAGTTGTGAGCTTCTCCCTGAGCATATGCACATATGGAGCTGCGTAACTGCACGGACAGTGCACAGCTTACTATTTATGCTCAGTAGCTGTGTGGATGTTTATATCTAGACAGACAAGATTCTGCATTCATTTGCACTGATGCAGCTCAACTGATATATCTACACCAGCTTTCCTTACTGTAAACTCTGCAAGAGTTCCAAAATACCACTTACATAGCTGGCAAACTGTTTGTCCAGTGCATGCGGTGAATTGGAATTCTGCCCAAAGACCTCGATCCATCTAAAACCTAATTTATTTATGCTTTTTAAAGAAATAACCAGAGAAACAAAGCACTAGTTTTCAAATGAAAAACCAAATAGAAATAAAATGGACTTAATAGAAGGCTATGAGAAGGGAAGGAACATAAGTATCTCTGAAAAGCAAACTATTAAAGAACTGTATTTTCAAGCTTTGCTCTCTCATGAGAAAGGAAATAAACTAGTTTATTGATTAGTGTAGGCATTATTGGGTCTCAGGACAATAACTATCCCACCAGTGGTCAAAATTGTTGCTTGCTGGTTAGCTATGAATAGCTGTGCCTGAGGCTACAGATTAAGCACAGTCTATTTACTTTGGATATATTATTACAATAGACAGCCACACAAAGTGTTGGATACAAGGAGGATTATATATTCATAAATATTAATTAACTTAATTTTGATGGATTTGTTTCAGCTGATTATTTAATAAGAACTGCAGCCAATCTGACTATAAGCAGAGTCTTTATTTGTGACCTGGCATTATAATGCCTTAATTTTCAAGAGACTATACAAGCATGTAACTAATTAATATTTTACCTAGTAAGGTAAAATATTAATGATGAATCGAGGAAATTGATTTGGATCACTATTTACACTTGTGCACTTCTGAGCCTCATCTCCTCCTAAATCAACTTCTGTCCAAAGTAATTGTTTTGGAAGCAGATAAGGGAATTTGATCCTAAAAGAGCTTGCATAAGAAGTTTCAGTCAAGACAATCCTTATTACTCACACTATTTAGATCGATGGACAAACTTATGTGTTACAATAATGTGGCAGGTCAGCATATTACATTCAAATCATCACAAGCTGGCCTTATATCAAATCTTCATCTATTCCTAAAGATATTCCATGAACTTGGGATCATGGAGTCTTAACATTTCCAATCTCACAAAAAAGACAAGATTGTCCAGATAGTAGGGACAGGTTTCTAGGGATGCCTCCACTTTGGATGGAAATTTTTTATTATGCTTACACTTGGGCAACTGGAAATGCTCCGAAGGGATACAGCTTCATCATTTATGTGTCTAGGTCCTGTCTAAGCTGTGTTTAAATCCAGAATGGGAGACATGGAGTCTGGTTCCTGCTCCCAGGACTATTTCCTTATCCAGTGACTGCCTGATATAAAATATGTAGAGTCCTGGGAACAGACACTGGAACTCAGATGTTTTCATCCAGGGGAGAGCTCTCCTCCCTGGACTACAAACCCAAGCTCCCCTTTGCTTGCTCTCTTCTTAACCCCATGCCTCTTGCACTCAAAGCTGCCCATTGTACAGCTTGAACAGAAGTGGTAGGCAAGATGTTCCATCCTTCCCTCACCTGGTGGTGCCTGATGGCTAGGGTACAATCTTAGGAACTGTAGATGTGGACTTGAATCACTCCAGGCTGAGGAGGGCAGACCACCCAAATCTTATATCTCTTGGGGAGTGCTCTAACTGTTAGGTCATTGTGAACAAGGTGAATACACCGTGTAGTTAGGTTCCTATTAGTGGAAATGGGAATAGGCTTTTTGTACCCTCAATGAATGGAGTTGTCTACAGTACAGCCCGCACCAGGTGCGTAAGCTCTGGAGAGAGAAGGAGTTCAGAAACCTCCCTGTACTGCCTACCACTAGACACTCAAGGATTACTGGGTCATCCTTGGAGACACCTGCTTCTACCATTTCTCAATGTTGTGTGCCTATGTAGTTACATGTGGTCAAAAAAAATCACACTGCAAAGGCACCTAAGCCTCCATATCGAATGTATAAGGGTCTAGGCACCTAAGCCAGGTCAAATTACATTGCCTACTAGGGAAGGTGTCTAAGTTTTAGGCATTCCAAGGCCTAAATTTTGATGTCTGTATAACCAGTTGGATCTGGCTCATAGTTACACTCCCCCAAAGCAGAACTGCCAACCAGTAAACTCTTTAAAAGAACAATTGCTCTTTGTACTGGAAGCTGTATTCAAGTTGTATTTGAGGTGGTATGCTCAGAGTAAGGGCTCAGGATCCCATTTTGATATGCTCTGCACATACCTACATTAAGGGAAAACAACTGTCCTGAAGAGCATACAATCCAAAGAGATAAACCGGAGAGACAACAGACAGAATCTAACATTTAAAAGTATTTTTTGTACTGGGAATGTTATAAAAAAAATGATATGGGAGAAAAACTGGGCACTAACAAAATACAATTTTTCCTTGAAGGCTTCTGTCCCCTTAGGTTTGCAATAAGTCATTGCATAAGCAGGAAAACATATTCACTCTATTGCACATTCTCAAATCTGGTTATTATGATGAATGTTTCTCTACGAGATTACTATCACATGTATCATTAAGACCAACTAAAAAAAGAGATATTGGGTTCTAATAATTGATATTCCTTACTTAGAAATTCAAAGGAAACTACTGCTTTTACATTTGCGCGGTGACATAGCCTTGATGGGAAAAACTCATGCAGCTTTGTTAATTAAATATTTAGTGTTGATAGATTTATGAGAAAGAATGCACTTAAAAATAGAAAGAGTACGTACCGTGGGGGTGGGGGAGGGGCCTTAAATATAATAATCTATAGTTATTATATGCAATAATACTTGTTTTACAGGGCATAAGAGTCAACCAGCAAAGAAAAATCAAATGTAATAATAGTTATGGCAGGTAAATAAGATAAAAACGTAAAGAACTTTGCTTTATAATGACAGCAAACATATGGATTTAAATTAGTATAATTTTAAAAGAAAACTTACAGGCTTTGGAGTTTTCCATGGAGAAAAGAAACCTGAAATACAGAAAATAATATTAACATATCTTTCTATTATATTATTACACTTTATGGTGCAGAAACACCTATTCTTCTCTCTTTATGCAGGCAATAATTATATTTACATTAATTATTAATATATTAATATATTAATTATTTTAATAATTTATATTAACACTGAGATAATTACATAAACATGTCCTGATGGAAGTAGTTTCAATTAAAGTAAGTTCTAAGAAAGCAAGTTAGATAGAATGAATAGGAATTTTGCCATGATCTTCAGAGGTCTTAACATCAGTTTTGGATTGACAAAACTTCAATCCAACGCCTACTGAAATAAATGAAAGATTCAAGTAATCTTAGTGCCCCCCTAAATATTATATATATTACCCCTTAAAAAGGTCCAGCCTGCTATAAACTAGCTGCCAATTCACATTTTTTTCCAAGACAAAGTCACGAGAGTTTCCAATAATTCAAGTATTAAGAAACAACAAAGAAAAACTTCTAATTAACCTATAGGCATATAAAGATGCACCTAAATACTTATATTTTGGGAGACTATGTTTTGTTTTTACACAAATGCAAGTTGCTGATGAGGTGTTAGTACTTATTTTTATACAGTTGATCATTTTTCTGTTTTTTGCCTTGTCACTTCATTTGATGAGGAGCTACGACTTTATTTATGACTTATACATATTTAAAACTCCAGGTGTGTCCTCACCATAAAATTAGGTCACTTGAATGTTGAAACACCATTAAGATCTTTTAATTTGGGCAGGCCTTTAATACGTGGGATTAAGCTTTGGAAGATTTGGGGGATTTGTTTTCTTATTTTATCTGTTTTATGACTTTTTACTGTCAAAAGCCATGGGCCTTTTTGGGGAGGATGGCACAGAAATCAAATCAATCAAATCAATTGTTTTATATGTAGATCCACGTGGCAAATAATTTCAGCTAAATAAATTTCGTAGACAAAAGAAAAGAAGAATTTCAAAAGATAGAAAGTCAGTTTTTCATAAATCATTGTTTCAGGCACAAATATACAAAAGTTTGTGTCCATAATTGAATTGTTGGTGAAAATCTAAGTACCTGCATTTCTAATTCTGTGCTAACAGATTATATAACAGTTCATTTTTTGGAGACAAACTGAGTACTTCATACTCCAAAGAATGTTATTGGGATAGTACAAGGAAATATTTTATCAATAAGAAAAATAAGATAGGGTTACCTCTACACTTGGTACTTAAACCCTCCAGAGACTGCTATGGGTAAGATAAAATTCAGTTAGGAAGCACCTGAATCTGTGGCAGGACATCATTAGTTGACTGGCATCTGTTATTTCAATTACTGCAAATTAGCGGTGTTTTTTCAAGGTGATTTTACTGTGAAAAGGAATTCTGTTAAGAGATTGTGTTTCCTGACCCTTTACAGTCTCCACATAAAAAACTGCAGCGTTGTAAAGTGAAAAGACTTTTATTCTCCTCTACACATTCATGCTGCGATACAAAAGTCAAACTGTATAATTTGGCTGTAACATCACCTCCAATTTAAAGAATCTTTAACTGAAACTTGCCAAGCAACTCTTTAGCTAATATACCAAAAAAGATTCCTGCTCACATTTTCTTACCCACTGCTGTTCTGTATGACTAACAAGAGGAAAAAAATTGTTGAGTACAGAAGTATCAAGCATTTTACACCTACTTCTATAGTGATTTGGTGGTTTTGAAATATCTAGACAGAAAACATTTGTTCTGGTGCAGCTCTCTTGACTGACTTATCTTCAGTGGAAATTACATCAGTATGATTTACCCCATAGCCTTTTAGGCCTAGATCCTATTTTGCAATTAAGATATCTGAAATGTCCCATATATCATTTTCACGACCCTAAAAGCAACCCTATTTCACCATGTGCAAAAGCTCAAATTCAGCTAAGATATCTATATTCCTTATGCATCTCCATTTTAGGCAGAAAGGTTCCCTATGTTCCTATTCTTGGCTCCTAATTGATCCAGGATGGGCAGTAGTGTAGCCCAATGAGGTGAGCTTGAGCACATCCAGCCTGCAACTTTCCTTATTGTCAAAGCCAGCAGGGTCATTCCCAGCCTTTGTTTCAGGCATGCTTGTGAGCAGCTACTGAGGCAAGCCCAGAGCAACCCCAGATGTACTTCTGCCTTTGCAGTAGATGGGAGGGGCATGGGTCTGCTGCCACCACAGGGTAGATAAGCCCTGAGATATCTGTCTTCATTGTGATCCAGTTCTGTCTGGGGAGGCACACAATTTTGCTAATGTGCCCAAAGGGTTAGTGGAAGAAACAGGTTATGGGCCCCTCATCCTATCTTATATAAATGCCAAGGTCCAGTTTCAAAATCAACATGCAATTAAGCTATGGAATAAAACATCGCAGGATGCCATTAAGGTAAAAAAGGCATGATCGAAAAATGCGTCAATCAACAAGAATATCCAGACTATAGCAGTTAATCCTAAAAAACCTTGGAAGTGATTTTAAGTTCATGTTACATACACAGTGCGTGCATCTATGACTGCATAGTACCTGCCAGTACTGTGCAATCCCAGCAGTGCATGGGTCGTTTTCGACCCTACTGTGCAATAGCAATGAGCCACTGAGACATAGCTCATTGCCACTGCACAGTAGCAGCAACATCACAGTTAGTGTCTACCGACGCTACATCAACATAGTGATGAGCTACATCGCTGTAGCTCATTGCTACAGCAACGTAGTGTTTCATGTAGATACGCCCAGTTTAATTCAATCTCTCACTATTAAAAATTAGGAGGAGACTTAATGTGGGGACAGATTATCCCACATGTTCTAACATGAGAATTCTTGCACCTGCCTCTAAAATATCTGGGATTTGCCACTGACAGACACAGGACACTAGGGAAGGCAAACACAGTAAGGGAAGTCCTTTTTTGCTGTCTTCCACATACATAAAAACACTTCCCATTTTTTTGTTGCCTCCAAAAAACATAAAATGTTTCCTTTTTATAGTGTCTATGTCCATCATTCAACATGAGACTGTCTGTGGATGCTTAGTGCAAAACGGGCATCAGCAGAACTTGTCACCACTGTGAAATACAAATACGCTACTAAAAGTACTAGTATTTGAGGCTCTTGCCAATTCTTGAGTAGCCTACCATTTGGATTGTATGGCTTCTGACACATTTTACATTCATTGTGCAACTGATTCATTGGACAATAAATTTAGACATACTACCCCAGCAATATAATTAGCACACGAGAAAAATGGCCTATCAGGCACAAAAACAGTCAATCGGCCACAAAGATATTGCTTGAAAACTGGGATATTTTTGTAGCTTGTGTTTATCAAGCTTTAATTTGGATGTGTGGCATATCAGGGTGGCATATCACAGGGTGATACCCCAATATCCCATGGTAGACTCCTTTCTTTCCCTCACCCCTCCACCTCTTTTCCTGTGAGGGGACTCTCTGGGCCTATTCTACTGTGCATTATTGAAGTGGCACGTAAAAAACTGTGTGAATATGCAAATGCTCAGCAGAATAAGTTACTGCGCATTAAGTGTCACCTAAACAGCACGTGCTGGTGCTACTGAACATTAGTGCAGCCTAATGCGCATTTATTTAGTACCTCATATTGGAGGTACTAAATTTAATGTGCATAGGAAAAGCGCATTAATGCATATGAAGATCCTCTGAGACTCATGCAGAAATCTGGTGCCGCGGGGTGTCTTAGAAGATGTCATGACTCAACAACTCTCCTCCCTTTCCCCAACCAGCATTCAATGCTGCTCCTTTTCTATGAGAAGCAGACTGTAAACAGACACTCAACATTACATGCTTTACCTACACACAGTAGTAATCTAAAAGAGGGGGAGGGAATTTGTCTGGAAAGCTACCAGTGGGGACAAGAGGGGGAGAGAGGAAAAGCCTGGATACAAACAGATCTATTAAGGTGTTGCAAAAGAATGCAAGTCCCACCGCTCCATCCCTCCTTCTGCTCCTTCACACAGGTCCCCCTGCTGGACACAAGGTTCAGAGAAGCAGATCCTTCATCCAGGGGGAGCCTAGCACTCATTTCTCACTAGCATTGTAGCTCAGGATGTGAGAGGAGCTGGCAGCCTCTGCCAGCAGCTCTTCAGCTTCTCGTGCTGGTAAGGAAGATCCCAGGGCACTTTTCCGGTCTGGACAGCTTGCTCGGTGAATGTGAAGCAGGTCACATGATGTGATAGTTTTCATCAAGTAACTTTACCTGTTGCTTGATGGAAATAAATAACATCTGGCAGAGGCCTAGGATATGTACGACAAAAACTTTATATAGAGTGGCAAAAACTAAAAATGTATGAATAGACTCCTCTGTGGTCCATTCTGAATGATTATCATAGAATCATAGAATCAATCATAGAATCCATGAGTCAGAAGGGACCTAGACAGACCATCGAGTCCAACCCCCTGCCATGGGCAGGAAGGAGCACTGGGGGTGGCAGGGGTCATAAGACCCCAGCTAGGTGCCTATCCAGTCTCCTCTTGAAGATCTCCAGGGAAGGTGAGAGCACTGTGATTATAGATCACTTTGCAGCTTTCACTACTCTGATTCTACAGCAATACAGGACTAAACCATGGAGGGTCAATGTAGCTGCTATCCATCGTGCTGCCAGCAGACCCTGGCTATAACATATAAAAACCCAGGCTCAGAAAGCTCACCTCAATCTACAGTGAATCCTCTGGTGGCATAGAACCAATAGGACAGCTGCTTTTTCATTTCCTGCCTGCTGCTAGGGCAGCAAAGGTAAAGGGGACATGGACACATCTGGGGCTACTGAAAACTCATGAAACCTTGTTGTCTTAGTCTTTTGGGCCTATTGGTAGCTGGCATCGACTATTTAAACTTACTTCAGGGAACAATCTCTGTTGCCAGCAGCTTAGGATCAGGGCAGTGCAGAGGTGAGTATCGGGTTACTTTTGCACTCTATCTTGACCTGAGCTCCTGTCCTCACTAGTGTCCTCTTCCTCATGCAAA